AAAAAAAATCAACTAAAAATATTAACTGGATCAAAAGTTATTTAAGTTGTCAGTGAGTGGTGGGCCACCCTGTATTTTATAAGCCCAAGAAAATCATCATCTTGCCTCAATCGTCAACTTGTCGTACTCACCCTTATTTTATTAATAAATTATTAGGATAAGTGAATCGATTATTTATGAAAAATTATAAATTATAATTTTTTGGAAAATTACATTTTTTAATAAATATGTTCTGTGGATATATACGAATAGTTTACTTTCGAAAAGAATCAACTGCGTATGATAGATATTTTACTATCGCTATTTCAAACATTTCGTTTTTTAATAAATAGTGCTAAGTAGTTCACAAATAAATAAAACATTTGCCGATAGAAGGTTTTTATGATAACATCTGTTATATTTTTTGTAATAATTAAAGAAAAATTAATTTTCAATAACAATTTAAAAACGAACCTTTTAATGTGTAGTTTTATAGTCGATTTGACTGCAATGCTGATAAAAAAGATTTTTGTCATTGTTATTGTTTGTTAGTGTAAATGGCTTTTGTAAAGAATACTTTCAAGTTTGGAAAAGATAATTCTTTTATATTATTACCTTCAGTAAAAGCATGAATAAAATATGTGTCCAATGCAGAAAGAAAAAGTTTAGATAAACAAAAATCATTAAATAGTCAAAAAAAATTATTGATTTATATGATGTGTATTTATTATACTTCAATAAAACTGTTAGCATTCTCCTTATAGTATTAAGTATTTATAAAAGTATGTTAGTTATATTAACATAATATTAATTTAGATATTTTAAATTTTTATTAATATTACTAGAATAAGTTCTACTTTCTATACGCATTTTAACACAAAACTAGCATACGGTAGCCATTTTCTCCATGAAGACAAAATAAAATGCGAACATTTTTTCTTCCATAATAAAGTATATTACATTAGCTTTAATTTATGATATATATTAAAGTGTCAGTATTTTCGGAACACTATCAAAAATTAAGTTAATAAATTAATTTTTTGTTAAAAGTTTTCATTTTGAATCCCTCCTGTGGGTAGGTAAAGAAACAAATTAATAAAAAATATACACAAAATGAGAGGTAATTATCTCACATATCTATATAAAAAAAAATTATATATATTTGGTCATTTTTAAAAAGTTATGGCAGTTTTAAGTAAAAAAATTTGAAAAAATGTCGAAAATTAGCGATTTTTTAATTTGTAATATTATTTGATATTTATTTAGACGTTACTTAAAAATCTCTACAATAAGTAGATTTTACCGCATAATTAGCTGGTTATTTTGTATTTAAATAAGGGAACCCTGTTTTGGCGACTTTGTATATTCAAAATGTGTAAATACATGTACAAATGATAACATCATATTATTTGTTAATATTATAAGTAAAAATATAATATTACACAGAGATGAGAATGTTTAGATGGATGAGTGGCGTGACTAGAGAAGATAGGATAAGGAATGAACATATAAGAGGTAGGATAGGTTTACGTCAATTATGGATAAGATAAGAGAAAATAGATTTAGATGGTTTGGTAATGTCATGAGGAGAGAGGAATCAGAAGTTGTAAGAACAGTTATGAAAATGAATGTTGAAGAAAGAAGAGGTAGAAGAAGACCAAAAAAAAAATGGAAGAATGTTATTAAATGTGATATAAAGACGAATGATAATGTAGGAGATCGTGTCAAGTGAAAGATTATGATAAGGGTAGTCGACCCCAAAGAATTGAGAAAAAATCGAGAAAAAAGAAGAAGACTAATCTTCTCTTTATGAAAAAACTTTACATTAACGCAATCAAACTTAAGAAGTATAAGAACGCAACACATTTTAATTTCAGTGTACAAGGTATTGGGTAGAGTGTGTTAATAGTCAGTACTCGTCCTCGCACCTCTTGTGGGGCTCGTGTATGACCGGTTCGAATGTGTTCGTGCCACGTTCGGCCGTCGTCCCTTTCTCAGCGAGCGCCACAGCCTATTTTGTACGTACACAGTACAAATGTCTCGCGACTTTTATAATCGGCGTCCGTTCTTTTTAATCAATCGCCTCCCATTATATTCTTTTGGATTTGTATATTATTCGTTAACGCTCATTATCAATTGCTTTGCCACTCTCTCCAACCTCCTCAAGTCATCAAGTCATCAGATAAGTTAATAATTTATTTTAATTTAACTGTATTATAGCATAAGGATTAATATTGTTTTAGAACATAAGTTACCCCCCCCCTTTCCGTTAATTTTAAGAGTTATTTGCAGAAACTATAATATATTGCTTCGTATTTTGTACATTTCATAAGAAGGTTACCTATTTTTTCTTACTCCCTCTTATTTCCTTATTTTTTTTTGCGTCAAAATAAACATCACCGCCCACAATAACAGGCAAAAATAAAATGTTCAACATTTTTCTGGGGTGTGGATTCTAAAGAACAAAATGTTCTTGGATTACAAATTAAATTCTTGCTCTACATATTATATAATGTATAAACATCCACGTATATACCCCCTGGACTTCCCCCTATTAATTCACAAACTGTTCAGTTTAATTAATCTAATAGAAAAAGTTAAATCGATTAGTGATGTCTAATTTTTTAACTATGTTTTTATAAAAATATCTGCCAAATTATAAAAACGTTTAATTCTACTAATAGTCAATAAGAAAAAACAAAGTTAACAACAATTCAATGACGTCAATTGTAAATAACATAAATTTAAAAAAATAATAAAAAGTAGGCAAACTAGTGCAAATTGCTTTAATTTTTATGATATTAGCATCTTCATATTTAGAAAATATGGACGAGTGGGGTAGTGTTTAGTGGTGCTGTATTTTTACCAAATCGCTCAAATAACAATTCTACTATGTTGCGTATCTCTCTGGCCTATAATTATAAAATATGTTAACTAAAAAATTAATTATACAAAACTAGTTTTCAACCAGTCAAAATTTTATTTAGAGCATTCTCCATTTAATTGTAAAAATTAGTAATGGATTTATTGTGACTCTTCTTTGTTACATAAAGAAGTATGGCATATATGTGGTTCTTATATATAGGTAGACATTTTTTTTAAACGTCTTTTACACAACAACTTCAAGATTAGTTTAGTTGTATACAGTAATAAAATAATGTGGGTAAAATTCGGTAGGTTTTATTCAATATATTCTGGTGTCGCATTGGGGTTGAAATTTGACAATTGATAGTACTTTTTTCTTATTTGAGTTTAAAATGTTTTACTTCCTGGTTTAAAGACAACAGATTATATTGCATTTTCTATTTAACTCTCAAAGTCATCCCAAAAATTATTCCTTAGAAATAATTTTTTCTTTTATAAATTTTATATTATTAAAAAAAAATCAATATTCAATAAATTACACTGAATACTATAGTATAGCTTTGTAGTATTCATTTATTTTGAATACGATTTTTAAATATTCACTTGTTTGTAATTAGTTAAGTAGGGCATTAGTATTTAAATATGATCAATCTGAATTATCAGAGTCCCTCGGCAATGAGCCAAAGGAGAATATATTCGAAAAGTTATGGATTATATTTTTTTGTATTTTAAAAAAATGTACATTATTGAATGTTTTGTAATAATTATTTGTGTCATTAATTAACTTAACCTTGTGCGTGTGGTACATTCAGTCCTGTCATGAAGCATACAAAAATATTTCACAAAAAATACATTTTTAATTTCGAGTTGGGGTTAGAAGTTAATAAAAAATTCGATTTATATCATTTTATTTTTATGCTGTGTAACGGACAAATAAACTTCTTTAAACACAAACATATTTTCATGGCCTAAACAAATACTAATAAATTATAATGTAAAAATATACATCAATAATAATACTCATAAATGTAGACTATATAAATTCAATGAAATAATGGTATAAAATATATACAAGTAATTTTTTTTGTTTAGTAACAATTATTTATTATGTTGCCTACACGATTAATACATTTTTTTGTACTAATATGTCTTACTAACAGTTCTAATAAATTTAAAACAACATACATTGAAGATTATGATGCTGAATTTAATAGAATTATTAGATCTGATGGATGGAAAAAAATAACTAGTGTTTACTTTCAATCTCCATATGGTAGTAAGATATCAGTCAATAAAGGATTTGAAGATAATCCTATTATTGTTAAGAAAGATGCTGCATTGATATTAAGTAAAGTTTATGAAAAACTAGTAGGTTATTTCAATTGTAATTTTAGATGGATGACATTTGGATATAATCATCAGCCAAATGACGCATTTAAACTTCAACATTATTTAAAATTAGTCGCAGCTATTCTTCAGTTTGAACCATTAATAAGTTGTATGGCTAGAGCATTAAAATATTTAAATTGTGATGATAAGAATAAAGTTCTCAATAATCTTAATAAATCACTAGATATTATAGAAGAGATAAAAATAATTGACAAAAAAGAAAGAAGTTATGAATCAATGAATAATATTTTTGTAAAATATTTTGATATTGTTAACACACCTGTAATACAGAAATTCGACGCCATTGTTTCACCTAAACCAGAAAATTTCATCGACAAGTATATTGAAGAAATAAACAAACTTGAAAAAAAATGTGTTGACATATTATCATTTAATCCGTATCACCCATCATTTCAAGATAAAGTTGAAGAAGGTGTTACCATGTTTTGCGTAAATTTTGGATTTAAAGATTAGGTAGTAAAATAAATATCTGGTTTTCTTTACTTTATACTCAAAAAAAAAAAACATTCTTTAAACTGTAATATCTAATGTATTTGTAATCTAAAATATTACTAAGATTCAATTATTAGAAGTAAAATTCTAAGTATTTTCTTTTATATATTAATGTAATATTATATTATATAAATTATAATAATGTATATAAATTGTTTTTCAGAGACGTTTATTTTAAATATTTTTATTATTATTTTTTTTTAACTCTCAATTACAAACGCCTCTTATTATTTTTGACAGTGGAGCAATTAGAAATTTTGTATGGGGAGTCCAGATAACTTTTAGAACGTAGAGTAGGGGGAAAATTCAACCTTCCACAACTCCCCACTATTATGACTTTATGTCCATGAGGTCCGGACCCGGAAACTTCTCTTTGGTTGTGTCACTAATTTATAATTTAATGTAACGACTAATGCAAGATTTCTGTTATATTAATGTTTTAAAAATTAGTCAATTGTAAAATAAATTTTACAAAATAAAACCTAATCAAACTAGACATATGAAATGCATTAAAAATTTCTTGTTGAAAAATAATTAATATAATTATTTTTGTAAATATTTAATAGTGTTTATCAATTAATTAATAACTAAAAAATATATATTTTCTATGTTGCCTTCAATGACAAGCGACTGACTATTAGGTTTTAGAGACTATTTGGAATAGAATCATAAGAATATTACTTGGGGTACTTGCTCACCTAATTCATGCATTAAAAAGAGCCATAATCAAAGCTATTACTTCCCAATTTAAAAACATCTACAAATTCGTATGTTACTTAAACTATTTTCAATGATAAGAGAAATTAACTTTTGAAACCCTAAAAAATTTAATAATCTTACGCCTATTATTTTATAAAAAAAACTAGCCATATTCTTTGTGTATTAACACACTTAGGCGCAGGTTATATTTACAATTAATGTATTTTAACATCAGTTGCTAATAATGTTATTTCGATAAGCAAATGATAACATTTGTAAAATACGTATAATAGTTAATGTTGTAGCCGTGATATTCTTTAGTTGTAACGGTACAAACAAACATAACACCTGATATGGTATAAAAGTTGTTAATAATAATTTAAATGTATCACGATGATTGAAATAATTGTGGACTCAATTTATTACACCTTTAACAATGTCCATAAAACTTAAATAATTAAAAACACGGGTTGACAATATTAAAGTTCGATATAAAGTCAATATATCTATATTTCGACGGCACGTGCGGCGGATGTAAGTCACAGATGTACTGATTACATAGTCGCCGACGTGTCTCGCAGTGCTTCACTCCCCTGACCTGTCCTATTTCCCGACCGCCGGACAGGACAAACTAGTGTTATCGTTAACACTAATGAGTGCGACGGTGAACAGCTGATAATCACGACTGGATAACGTGCTAGTTCACTGTAAATGATTAGTGCGCTATTACGGGCTGTGTCACACCACAGAAACATGACTGAGATTCAGATATTTTTGTGGTAAGTAAATTACAAATAAATTTGTTTTGAAAAGGCCTTTCATCCCACAAAAAAAAAAAAAGATTCATTGTATGCTTAAATTTTCGACTGAAAACTTTAAAGAATTTGAAATACTTCTTAAAAGTTCAGTTTATAATAGTAATAGAGACTTAACTTTTTTTGCAGTCTTCTGGAGTGTTCTAGATTTGCGTAAAATTAAGTTTTTAATGAACTATAAAAACTAAAAATTATAAGTGAATATTGGTAAAATTTTTAGGATGGCTCTTAATAACAATGTAAACAAATCGACTACTTAGAAAATATGATTACAATTTCTTTAATGATATTAGACATAAGGGGGTATGGCATATCCCTTTTATCTGGTTCTTATATAAAGGTAGACATTTTTTTTAAACACCTTTTACACAACTACCTCTAGATTTGTTTAGTTGTATACAGTAATAAAGTAATGTAGGTAAAATTCGGTAGGTTTTACTTAATATCTTTTGGTGTAACATTGTGGTTGAAATTTGATAATTGATGGTACTTTTTTCTTATTTGAGTTTAAAATGTTTTACTTCCTGGTTTAAAGACAACAGATTATATTACATTTTCTATTTAAGTCTCGTAAGTCATACCAAAAATTATTCCTCAGAAATAATTTTTTCTTTAATAAATTTTATATTTATTTAAAAAAAAACCAATATACACATTTTTATGAAAAAAATCATTATTTAGCAAAAACTGGGGGTAGTATTTTAATAAATTACACTGTATACTATACAGAATACAGTGTAGTATTCATTTATTTTGAATACGATTTTTAAATATTCACTTGTTTGTAATTAGTTAAGTAGGGCATTAGTATTTAAATATGATCAATCTGAATTATCAGAGTCCCTCGGCAATGAGCCAAAGGAGAATATATTCGAAAAGTTATGGATTATATTTTTTTGTATTTTAAAAAAATGTACATTATTGAATGTTTTGTAATAATTATTTGTGTCATTAATTAACTTAACCTTGTGCGTGTGGTACATTCAGTCCTGTCATGAAGCATACAAAAATATTTCACAAAAAATACATTTTTAATTTCGAGTTGGGGTTAGAAGTTAATAAAAAATTCGATTTATATCATTTTATTTTTATGCTGTGTAACGGACAAATAAACTTCNAGGGTTAGAAGTTAAAAAAAAATTCGATTTATATCATTTTATTTTTATGCTATGTAACGACAAATAAACTTCTTTCAACACAAACATATTTTCATGGCCTAAACAAGTACTAATAAATTATAATGTAAAAATATACATCAATAATAACAACACATAAATGTAAACTATATAAATTCAATGAAATAATGATATAAAACTTATACAAGTAATTTTTTTTGTTTGGTAACAATTATTTATTATGCTTATACGATTAATATATTTTTTTGTACTAATATGTCTTGCTATCAGTACTAGTCATCATAAAACAAAAACAGACAATGAAGATGCTGAATTTAAAAAAATTATTATATCTGAAGGATGGAGATCTATAACTAGTATTCACATCAAGTTGCCAAATCAAACTATCGTGCCAGTCAATGAACAAGTTACATATTATCCTTTAAGCATTGATAAATATCTTGCTTCATTAATATTAAGTAAATATTACGAAAATATGCTAATTTATATCCATGCTATTTATAGAACGACGTCAAATAGTTATAAAAAACTCCCAGATAATGAAAAAAAAGTGGTTAAATTTAATAAATTAATCGATACTCTTATTAAGTTTGAACCATTAATGAGTTGTATGACTCAAGCACTAGAATATTTTACATTTAAAAATGAGATGTGGGATAATCAGAATTTTGTACTTAATATTCTCAAAAAAGTATTGTCATTTACAGAAAAAATAACTAATATTGAAATTGAAAAAGAATACATAAACGATCTCAAAAAAAAATATGAATTTATAAATAACTCATTCCATGAATTTTATGAGATTGTTGATACACCCGTAAGATACGAAACCGATGCTATTATTGGATATGTAAATGATAAAATCTTAAGCGAATATGTTAATGGATTAAAAAAAAAAGATGATGAAATAGGTTTTATGTCTTTTGATTCGTATCACTCAGAATTTCAAGCAAAAGTTAAAGAAGGTGTTACCATGTTTTGCGTAAATTTTGGATTTAAAGAATAGGTAGTAAAATAAATAACATCCAGTTTTCTTTAATTTTTTTTTTCTTTACTTTATGCTCAAGCAAAAAAAAAACATTATTTAAAATGTAATGTAATAAATATATTTTAAAATCTAATATCTAATGTATTTTTAATCTAAAATATTACTTAAATACAATTATTAGAAGTAAGACTCTAAAAAGACTCCATAAAGTATGGACCTAGAATAAATATCTGGTTTTCTTTACTTTATGCTCACAAAAAAAAAAGAACGTTATTTAAAATGTAATATCTAATGTACTTTTAATCTAAATTATTACTTAGATTCAATTATTAGAAGAAAGACTCTAAGTGCTTTCTTTTATATATTAATATAATATAGTTTTATGTAAATAAATTGTTTACTGCTACATCTATTTAAAAAATTATTTCTAATATTATTACTTTTTAACTCTCAATTACAAATGCCTCTTATTATTTATGACAGTGATGAAATTAGAAATTTTTTATGGGGAGTCCAGATAAATTTTAAAATGTAGAGTAGGGGAAAATTCACCCATCCACAAATTCCCACTATAATGGTTTTATGTCCATAAAATGTCTGACCCAAAAACCTATTTTTAAATAGACTATATAAATCTAATGAAATAATGGGATAATTATACATGTAATTTTTTTTGTTCAGTAACATTTTTTATTGTTGTCTACGCAATTAATATTCTTTTTTGTTTTATTATGTCTCACCAGCAGTTTTCTTCATCTTGATACAGCAACAGATAATGAAGTTGCTGAATTTAAAAAAATTATTTCATCTGAAGGATGCAAATCTATAATTACTATGAACTTTTTATTGTTAAACGGTCAAAAAATACCAGTCAATACAAAATTTAAAAATAAACTTTTAAACATTATTAAGCATCATGCTTCATTGATAATAAATAAAGTTTACGAAAATATGCTAATTCATTTACATTGTTCTTATAAAATGATGTCAAGTGAATATAAAAAACTCTCAGATGACGAGAATAAAGTAACCAAATTTGAACAAATAATCAATACTGTAATTAAGTTTAAAACATCAATAAGTTGTACTGATAATGCACTAGAATATTTTAAATGTAAATATCCGAATACTGTACACAAAGCTCTCGAAATTTTATTAGAATTTACTGAAGAACTGGCTTTAAATGTCGAAGAAAATATACACAAAAAGGAAAGTAAAATATATTATGAATTTATAAATAGCATATTTGATAAGATTGTGAAATTGTTAAAACATCCATAGAATTCAAAACTGATGGTATTACTAGATATGAAGTTATCCTAAGCAATTATTTTGATGGCTTAAAAGAATATGAAAATGTATGTAATATGAAATTTTTTTTTTAATCTGTATCGTCCAGACTTTCAAAAAAAAGTTATGCGTAAGTTTGGTTTTAAAAAATAGGTGAAAAAATACATAACATCTAGTTTTCTTTATAGTTTTTTCCTTGCATTATGATCTGAAAAAAAAACAATTATTTAAAATGTAATGTTATACATATATTTTAAAATCTAATATCTAATGTACTTTTAATCTAAATTATTACTTAGATTCAATTTTTAGAAGAAAGACTAGAAGTGCTTCCTTTTATATATTAATATAATATAATTTTATGTAAATTCTTTTAATTAAAATAAATTGTTTATAGCTACACCTATTTTAAATATTTTCATTATTATTTCTATTTAACTCTCGATTACAAATGTGTTATATCATCACTGATAACATTAACATTAATAAGGTGTTATCTTTGTTTTAATAAATTTAACCATTATTAACCATTGGTTAATAATGATAAAATATGCTTAAATTATAGTATTGAAGGGTGTAATCATTATGACAGCTAAATTATTTTATTCTTGTATTATTAATATGAAATATAGATTATAGAATTTCTATTGATATTGTATGTTTTCAGCATATTGTGTCATTATTGGCTTTTCTAAATATTGTGGATATCTGTAGTAGAATGTTTAGGATATCATCAGACATTTTGTAACGACGATTGATTAATATTAGGTTTTTTGATTGATTGAGATCTGGATTAATGAAAGAATGAACTTTTATTTGAGATTGAGGTTTGTTATTATTTGTAGTGTCTTTATTATCTATGTAACTCTATTATTAATGAAAGTGGTGGCTTCACAGTTTCCCTTGTGATCAATGGACCCAGACATTGCGTAAGAAGCTTGAGTAGTATGATTAAATCATTTATTACTCCTCCTAATAGTTGATAGATTAACTTTTTCAGAACTTCTGAATAGTATCCAACAGGTAAGGCTTGTAGATCACCAAATGTATAGCATTTGAAAATTAAGTGATCTATCATTATAATCTATCAATATAAAATTAAAATATATAGTGCTTAATATGTAATTTATTAATGAAGTAAAATAAAGAAAAAAGTATTTACAACAGTAGGAGTATAAAGGTGTGATTCCTATGCACGCGTCTATAGACGCGCGACCGACGCGGCGCGATTTAATTTTAGCCGCGCAGGTACTACTTTATTTGTTTTTAAATATAACCAATTCCTATGACCGCGTCTGACGCGTGCGGCGGCCGCGCGAGTCTGGCGCCGCGCGACGACAACCGCTTCGAGAGCAGTCAAATCACACGAGCCGCGCGGCCAATAGGTAAAAATATAGATAAAAGCAAGAAAAACAGCCACAAAAATTCCCTGCTCGTGGATTGTAGTTGTAATTAATATATTATTATTAAAATTGTATTAATTTATTATTCATATTTTAATTTTCAAAGTTTGAAATTTTGTAAGTGCCGTGTAATGTCTTCTGCTAAAGTGTTATACACAGTAGAAGAAGACATACAATTGGCTGAATGTGTAAGGCCACATAAGGGCAAAATTTTATAACACACAAGTACAACTTAACTAAACAGAGTACTTGATACAAATGCGTGTACATGCCTTATTATTTACATATANGCCGTGTAATGTCTTCTGCTAAAGTGTTATACACAGTAGAAGAAGACATACAATTGGCTGAATGTGTAAGGGCACATAAGGGCTAAATTTTATAACACACAAGTACAACTTAACTAAACAGAGTACTTGATACAAATGCGTGTACATGCCTTATTATTTACATATAATGTAATGTTGGCCGTGCGTCTCCTGACGCGTACATAGGAATCAATATTAGATCGCGCGGCTAAATAAATGACCGCGCGGCCAAAATTAAAATCGTGCCGCGTCGGCCGCGCGTTTCTAGACGCGTGCATAGGAATCACACCTTAAAGTATGAGCTGGATACCCCCCAAAAACGGCCGCGGCCGTTTCTTCTCTCTAGATAGACGGGCGGTGTAAACGGCCGGGGAGATATGGTGAAAGGTCGATGTTTCTCGTTCCTAGATAGCATTTTGTTATACCATGGTACATGTTACCTTGGTATATGCATAGTATACCTAGGTAGAAGGAACATCATACAGTATACTTTGATATATTATAGAAAAATTTGAGGGATTTTGAAAATTGCATAATTTTAGAAATATGTGAAAATATTTGAATGCAGAAAAGTGAAAGGTGTAATCAAGCGGCGACGGCGCCTATTAATCCAACGAAACCCAACTATAGCTATGCGATATGTAGGCCTTTGGTCATAGAGAGCTCCCTTACTTAACTAACGTATGTATTAAAACAGTAAATCAGCGGTTTACCCCTACATAGAAGGGGAGGTGATGATGAAACTCATNCCTATTAATCCAACGAAACCCAACTATAGCTATGCAATATGTAGGCCTTTGGTCATAGAGAGCCCCCTTACTTAACTAACGTATGTATTAAAACAGTAAATCAGCGGTTTACCCCTACATAGAAGGGGAGGTGATGATGAAACTCATCATAAGGTGATCATTATTATGATATTTATTAGTAAATAAATAAATATGTACAATATTATACTATTTCATAAGAATTGAGTTATTTTTTAATTATAGAGAAAATATTTATACGTTTGAAATAATATTTTAACAAATTCTTTTTTGATTATTCAGTCACACTACCGCGTTTGTTAATAAAAATTTTTTGTTAATGTGTAATCGTTATTGTATAAAACATGTATACACATAATCTATTACATATATTTGTATACAAATATTTAAAAATCGAGAGTTTAAAATTAATTATTATGATATTAAAGTGAAATTACTTAAGTGATGAAGAAAAGAGTTAGTATACGGGGATATGTGTCTTATGATTTGTTGACCCTTCTATGATAATATGTGCTTTTTCCGCATAAATGAACGTGAAATCGTTGATAAAGTCACAGTGTCATCAAGAACCGTCAGCTCTAAGAAGAAGAATCTTCTCTATGAACAATATGGCTGCCGAACCTGTAAGAAAACAGCGCTACATTTATATCGCACCAACACCGCCAGCCGGGATGATTGACTCTAGCAGTTACACTATTGCGTTCAGCGACAGAAAATTTTTGCAAAAGGGCTTGAATCCAAATGATGACTTCATTGTTACGGTATGCATTATTACTCCTTCACGATATATTAGTATAGTATTATGTCAGCGGACTATTTAAATATTATTTACGGCATGAGGGATGAAATAACATTATTTCTACAATCACCTCCGGTAAAAGGAGAGAACATTATGTTATAACAAAATGTCGATTTTAATATAACCAAAGTATTATACCGTGCAATTAATATTAGAATCCAGGATGGTCGATGGGTGTCGAGTGTTATTGAAAATGAATCTGTTTCATCGCTGTCATTATTTATTAATATACGATTTTTTATTAATATCGTATTCCGTGAAAATATAACGGCTATCAAAAAACTTGGCATTGAAGATGTTAGTGGTTTTATTCTATTTTATATTGGTTCTCGAGGCTTTGGATATAGAGACAAGGAGATTATTTGAGGCGAGCATTTTACAATCTAATGCACCTACTTTAGAAAATCTTTTGGACTTCGTGTCACAAAGAGTTCATATTTTGGAAAATATCGGTACTATTGATAATACAACTGAAACCGCAGTCAAGGTCACGGGAAAAAGGGGCCAGTCCAACATTACTACTCAAGCGTCTTATGCAGTGTCCGTGGCGTCACACAGATCTAATAAATGTGTATGTTGCCACCAAGAACATTCTATTTATCGGTGTTACACTTTCAAGAGGAAAACGGTTTCGGAGAGAAAAAAGTTTGTTATAAATAACGGATTATGTTTTATTTGCCTTAGGAGCGGGCATACGGCCAGTTCATGTGCCAGTGAATACAATTGTAAACATTGCTTTGGAAAACATAATATATTGCTACATGAAGAAAAAGGCAATTCTTCTCAGGTTGACGATGTTAGAGGCGAGGAAGAAGAGACAAGTCCATTATCAACGTCAGACCAAGTAGCCGATACTTCTCAAGTGTTTTCAGGTTTGGCTCGCTCAGGGACCAACGTACTCGGCACAGCGGTAATTCGCATCAGTGATACGGCGGGAGAACCACATGCTGTACGCGTGTTGCTCGATAGCGGTTCTCAGGTGTCTGCGATCACCTCAGATTGCGCAAATAAACTCGGTTTGAAAATATTTAAAGGGTGCAGAGAGGTTGTTGGTTTAGCTCAACAACCAGTCGCTCAATCACTAGGGGAAGCAACCTGTACTTTCGTTCCTTTAGTAGCGCAAGAACCGAGTTTCATAGCATCGAAAATTTTAGTATTACCACAAATAACTAAACTTATGCCTCATGCTAAATTACCTAATACGGTACGAGAGCGTTATAAGCATTTAACCTTAGCTGATCCACGGTTTGATGATCCGTTATCAGTTGATATGTTGATCGGTAGTGATTTGTATCCACTTTTATTACCACAAACAGTGGATATAATACATAGTCCGGGTTTGCCTTCGGCCATGAGTACCCATTTGGGTTGGGTTATTTTCGGTTCGTTGAAAGAGTCATCTGAGTCGTCATTTAAATCGGAACTAGCGATTGAAGACTTAACAAGAACATTTTTTATTGTTGAAGAACCGTCTGTAAATATAGCACCCACAACCGAGGAAAAGTTTAGCCAGATGTCAACCGGTGATATCACTGTTCCGCGACGCAGAACAAGAAAACATTGCGTTAACTCATTATTTCGTAAGAATATGTTAGATGAATCAACGGAGCGGTCGGTGTTACGACATGGAAAAAAGAATTTATTTGATCACAGTTCATATAGTATGATAATTACGGACAGAGAACAAAATATTGAAAGACAATTAGAAAATTTAGCGCGAGACAGGCGTAAACGAAAACGACGCACAGTAGTCAATCGCGTCGTATAACTCGGTACAAAACCAATCTTTTAATTATCTCTTTCCTTTCCTTCTTCCCATAAGCATTAGACGGCGCTACTTATTATTTGCATTAATTTTATAAATTTTTTTCATTGTTGATTTTAGCTTAAATTTTGTTTAATTTTCATTTTTCATTTTTTTTTTTTTAATAATTTTTTCATTAAAGTATATGAAGTTGTGATTGATAAATAATTTTATTAATATGTATTAATTTATTTTACTTAACATCAAAGGGATAAGTTTTTAAAAATAGGTTTAAAGTTTTTTTTTGTTTTAATTGTAAAGATATTTTTTTTTTGTTTAAAAAAAAAATGTTCTGACCGAGAAAGTCACTCCAGTGGAATTTTGAAAGCAAAGCTTTCAAACGGCGGGAGTATGTTCGGTCGTGACGAAACAGTTTGGTGGGTGAGCGCCGGTTTTTTATTCTCTTCAACAAGAGCGCGACCTGTCACAACTGGTTTACTTGTTAGGGTAGTGTGTGGCGGTGGTCGCGAAGGTGTCATTCGCGTATCGGCATGCCTAGAGTGATTTTGTGTATCACGGANAATGCATAGAATGGTTTTGTGTATCACGGACTCTAGTGCGTTATTTTGTTGGTTTTGTTTTCTTTGACGGTTTTATGTGTTCAATTCACTCTGTTGATTGCGTCGGGCTCAACTGCTTTACTTGACACATTCACTATCTTCTTTTGGGTACAGAAAGCAAGGTCAGACTATACNCGGGTACAAAAAGCAAGGTCAGACTATACATTTTCTGTTTGTAAAAATATTAATTACTAAAAATTTATGTTGTTGTATTTTAGTATATTAATTTTAAATATAAGTACTAACAATAGATTTAAGATAAACCATTGTTGTTACTGTATTAGAGAATACATATTAAATTCGATAAATAAATTACAGTCCATTAAAAAACGCTTTCTTTTAATTTTATTTTAAGCATCCCTTTAGAGACGCGATTTCATTCGGCGATTGGTCGTCCGAGTATTTCGCGTCGCACAGTGATCGAATTCAGACATTGATTTACTTTCACTATTTTTACGGTCTGTTTGAAACCCTACTATAACATAACGGGGCTTTTAAAAATTATTACATGTTTTAACGGTCCACGAAAAAGATGTTTTGTGGTACAAACGGATATTCACACAGTTCCCAATTTCTATGGGCGCAATGTATAGGCTTTTTACTATCTAAAACTCTAAGTAATTTTAATTGTTCCTTTTCGATCACTTTGACGATTGGCATATTCCATACAACTTTTGTTAGTTTAATTGATACTGTAGACAGTTCTTCTTTTGCTGTGGTACTCGTATCTAATAGCTTGACAACCTCATTATCATCAGAAGTTCCCGTGCTGCATTTAAGTTTTTCAGAGGACTCTTTCACATTGAATAATTTGATTACGTTAATGTCTGATGAACTCCTCGTACATATTAATGATTGGGTACAGTTTAAGAGTATTTTTTTATAATCTTCGGCAAACCCTAGTATACAGGGTGATTTTTTTATCATAACCCACTCAATTACTTGCAGAATAATAATAATTTAAACATTTTTTTTTTTTATTATTTTTAGTTACACATTATTCTTGAATTTTTAACTATGTAATACTTTTTAAGTTCATCCCTTATGCCTTGGAGGGGGGTCAACTTTGTTTTTTTAAATGGTAACACATATTTTTAATTTAATAAAATGTTTGAGTTTTTAATTTAATAGTAAATGGCATTTGAATTTTTAATATAACTTTATTAGCTTATTAGATATAAACATTTAAAGTTTCAAAATTTTGAGTTAATATACATGTATAATACACATGGGATTGTAAATACAGGTAGCTAATTGGATTTTTATGACATTGCTGTCTCAGTCACGGATTGTTTATTATCAATTATGATTATCAATAGATATACTTTCTGTATTGTCAGTTAGTGTATTTATAAACTCATAACAATGTGCCTTACTACAATTGATAATAACAATGCTGTGTACCTGCTAATATCGATGTTATAAAAAACCAATTAGCTACCTGTATTTGTAATCCCTTGTGTATTATACCTGTATATTAATTCAAAAATTTGAAACTTTAAATGATTATATCTAATAAACGAATTAAGTTATATTAAAAATTCAAATGCCATTTACTATTAAATTAAAAACTCAAACATTTTATTAAATTAAAAATATGTGTTACCATTTAAAAAAACAAAGTTGACCCCCTTCCAAGGCATAAGGGATGAACTTAAAAAGTATTACATAGTTAAAAATTCAAGAATAATGTGTAACTAAAGATAATAAAAAAAAAAAATGTTTAAATTATTATTATTCTGCAAGTAATTGAGTGGGTTATGATAAAAAAATCACCCTGTATGCGATAGCGGTATAATCCCAGAAAAATATGTACAGTCGATAAAGTTTTTATTGTCTTCAGTAGTAATGTCTCATGCCGCAGTGTGTAGTTCGTTAATATCAGCGGGGCTATATGAGCAATAGCCTTTCAAAGTAGATGTAATGCCCGGGTTTCGTACTTTTTGTATTTGAGTACCGTTTATTTCATAATGTATTTCAGAAAATAAATATGCGAGTCCGTTGTTAATAAATTTAGGACTGGACTTCATACTATGAGGTTTTTTCACTTCACCTTCCAAATACAAATAACTAGCACTTGGTAAAGTGTAACTGTCCATGTTGCGAATTTCATCATTTTTACCTAGCGCAGTGGAGCTATACGGTAAAAATGATTGTACCTGTTGACTAATTATTTTACACTGGTCGACATAACTTTCCGTCACGTCTAAACATAAATCGTACATAATTTCAAAGAATATAATTTAATATAATATAATTTCTACACGTGGTGTGGGGGAAATGCTACCACGACGAGTTTTTTTGCGAGCAGCGGTCAACGCAATTTTTATTAATTTTGTAATATCTTTACCGGCTGTCTTTTTACGTTTCTTAATAGCCTTTTTCGCTTCAGAAACTATAGTTTTAAAACCACATCCCATTCCGATTTTACGTTTTGCTTTCATGGCGTTGGTAACTAGGTATGCTGCAGCCCGTTCTTTAAATCCAGAGTCCTTTGATTTAACAATGTCCCAAGCCCCGTGTTCTAATACTTCGTCTGCTTTATGTCTTTCTGCAGCCGAATAATGTTTATCGTAAAAAATGTCGTGAGATTTGCAGAGTTCGTCGAGTTTGTTTACCCCCACGTTGCCCCTTGCTAAACGTTCTTTTAACCGGGTGCCTGGACCACAGTAATTATAACCTTTGAGGTGTAATTCTATAGGTAATTTATTTAAGAGCGTATTGAATAGACCGACACCACTTTTAGACTTGTTGCGACCGTGACGTGACATCATTTGATCAGTTTACTGTCCTGATAAACTATTTATAGTGGAAAACATGAAGTTTATACAGCAAAGTGTTAAACTCCCCGTGATAAACGCAGATACTGAAAATAATGACAATAAACCTCCCCGACACGGCACTTTATTTCCAAACTCTATTAGAGCGATTATTGCGGGGCCGTCGGGCTGTGGTAAAACTAATGTTTTATTTTCTTTACTAGTCGCTGAAAACGGTGTAAAATTCAAAAATATTTACATATATTCAAAAACTCTAGACCAACCAAAATATCAAATGCTTAAGGATATTATAGAAAGTATACCAGGAATGAAAATATTCATGTTTCATGAAAACGACACTGTAATTAGCCCTGATGACGCATTGCCAAATTCAGTTTTTATATTCGACNTGACGCATTACCAATTTCAGTTTTTATATTCGACGACGTAATAACCGAATCTCAAGAAATTATAAGAACCTATTTTACTCGAGGCAGACATAATAACATTGACATATTTTATTTAACACAATCGTTTAGCTATGTAGGTAAACAATTGATACGGGATAACGCTAATATGCTTATTCTATTCAAACAAGACGAAACCAATATACGGCATATATATTTTAATAATTGTTCAGGAGACATGACACTTAACCAGTTTCGTGAATTTTGTCATTCATGTTGGAACGATAGTAAATTTAGTTTTGTAGTAATTAGCAAAGATCATCCGCGAAATGAAGGCAGGTATCGTAAATGTTTCGATACTTTCGCAATAATATAATGTCGTGTAATAACGGGATTTTTGTCAGTAATCGATTAACAATGGCCGGAGAATCTAATAACGAAATATTGAGACAATTAGCCGAGGCCAAGCAAAATATTAAACGAAAATTCCAATCATTGCAAAACGATGATGTTACTAATGAAGTTTACATGAAACGTACATTAAAACCCATTATTGAACCTTTAAACGAGTTAACAACACTTCAAAAAGAGAAAACATCGCATATTTTAAATTTTACTAATAAATTTGATAATAATAACGAGTATTTAAAATATAAACAAAACCATGATGGTAACAATTATAAAAACGATGAAAATAATTCTATAGTAACTCAGCTGCATAATCAAAGCTATAATGTTGAAGACACTAATTCTAGTGGATATTCTGAAAACCAAATATTTTCTATGATGGACTCGGTTGAGGCATGGCTAGTTTATCATGACGGGGACAAAGCGTATGCACCGAAAAAACACGGGGATATAATGAAATTTGGTGATAAAATTGTTCAGTTTAATTATAAAACAGCTCAGCTGATCATAGAAAATAATAAATATCAATTAACCCCCGGTCTAATACAGTTAATATTTTCAAAACGGCCTAACGCATACGGTAAAAATGACTTGGATGTCTATAGAGACATTCTAGTTCATACTTCTGCGCACTTAACAACGAATAAATTAAAAATTAAGAAAACAAATGGCTACAAGTATAAAGAAGTTATAAGTAAATTGTTTGTCGAGGGCAGAGGTCTTGAGTTGTCATTGAATACATCGAATAACTATAAATATTGGAATAACGCAGACGAGCTCTGCGACCGTCTTAGATTACTATTGGCTTCGCAGGCAGCAGGCAATAATGCACATGGTAATGAAATTATATCAATTTATGAAGAATTATACGAGGCGGGCATAATTAAAAAAATACCAAATGTTTAAAAGACAAATTGCGGAAGAACTACATAGACCTAGACGAATACATTACGATAGACGTAGTGTTGTACTTAAAAGCCGTGACGATTTATTTCAGATCGATTTAGCTGAATTTATACCATATCATAGACAGAATAAAGGCNGTAAAAGCCGTGACGATTTATTTCATATCAATTTAGCTGAATTTATACCATATCATAGACAGAATAAAGGCTATAAATATATTTTGTTTGTTTTACAAAATATTCATGGGCAGTACCCCTAAAATCAAAAAGAAGAGCTGATATAGTGAAAGCAATAGAACCTATACTTGCAAAACGTAATATCGTTCACGTACAGAGCGATTTGGGTAAAGAATTCTATAACTCAAAATTTTCAACTCTTATGAAAAAATACAACATAAATCATTACTCGACGTATAGCACATTAAAAGCGTCAATTTGTGAGCGATTAATTCGAACCATCAAGACCAAATTATATAGAGAGTTTACCGCTCAAGGATCACACAATTGGATATCTATATTAAACAAAGTTATGCACGAGTACAACAACAGCGTGCATAGAATAATAAAGATGACTCCTACGTATGCCGATAACAATCCTTCGGCAGTGGTTATACACAGTACTGTACATAAAACGAAACAAAAAATTAAATTTCGTAGAGGTGATTATGTAAGGGTTAGTTCGAACAAGGTCGTATTTGAAAAAGGCTATTTGAGTAATTGGTCTTTTGAAATATTTACTATAGCAAAGGTATGCAACACTATACCAGTAACCTATCTTCTCGAAGACTTTGAAAAAAATCCAATTAGAGGGTGTTTTTATGAACAAGAATTACAAAAAACCAAGTATCCGCATAATTATCTGATTGAAAAAATTGTACGACGTAAAGGAGATAAAGTATTGGTTCGTTGGATGGGTTTTCCTTCAAAACATGATTCATGGATGAATAAAAATGAACTTGAAAAATAAATAATTTTAATATTATTGTAAGATATTAATGTAAAAATGTATAATATGCACTATTTATTGTATTTTTTACTCCATATAATAAAGTATTAATATATATTTAAATATGGATATTTATTTAACCTTAAGGTGACATATCCCCTCTACCTATCTTTAATTAAACTGTGTGTTATTACTTTTTAAAATACAAAAAATCATCTGAGCAGAATAAAATCTGCAAAACTAATAAAATATTTTTAGTTCACTCGTAAACGTTAACAGTAATGGATGTTTTTGGTTCATCATTAGAAAGTAAAAGAATAAAAAAAATATGCATACTAGAGTCTAAATTAGCTGAATTAGAAACAGATATTATAAAAATTACTGAAACGCTTAGTAATTATAAGAAAATAATTGAACAAATAAATGTACAAATACACGGAGTAGAAGTTAAAATTGAAAATTTAAATACTAATTTTAACGCAACAGATTCAACTTCTAAGTTACAATATAGTCATATAGAAGAACAGATTAATAAAATTAAAGGTTTCGTAAAATACGAAGCCTATACTGACTCCAGTGTACGTTAATTCAAAAAATAAAACGCCCTAGAACAAGATCCGTATCCTCGATCGAATAACGAGTATCTTATAAAAGAACTATCTGTAGTGGATACTGACACTTATGCTACACAACACTGGATATTTAAACATGCAACTCTAACAGATGAAAAAAGTCGAATTGTTAACGCGTGGTTGAAAAAGCACAGACATTCAATGCAACCTCAGCACGGAGACGTAGAAATTGAAAAACTACCGAGAATTTTAAACTCGTTAAAATTTACAGACATATTTGTATAAGGGTTACAAAAAAGAGACATTTTACAACAGTATATGCCACACGTAAATGTCATTAACATGGAAGATATTGGCTGTCCTCGNACCGAGAATTTTAAACTCGTTAAAATTTACAGACATATTTGTATAAGGGTTACAAAAAAGAGACATTTTACAACAATATATGCCACACGTAAATGTCATTAACATGGAAGATATTGGCTGTCCTCGTATAACACAACTGACAACAAATAGTTCTTATCCATCATGTTTATTTCATATGAATTTGAATCCAACTTATTGTAGTTTTTATAAAATGTTTATGTTAAGACATTGGTATATTAATAATTCTTAGTACTTAAAATATTGTTATATTTCACTATAATTAAATAATGTAGTCAAATTGTATAATATTTTTAAAATAAAACTTATAAGTAACATATAACATGTTTGTTGTTTATTTACCCAAAAATTCATATATATGAATAATACTATTATACTGATTGAGGAATGTGCCATAGATTATTGTATGTAACGTTATACGTGTAAGAGGGTGATGTATTAGCTATGAACAGGCATAGTTCAATAAGCATAGTTTTTTATTACTATATGAGTCGATTAATCAATTATTTATATTTTAACCAAGGTTAATTTTTATTCTTTAATATAATTTCAACAATAAATTTTTCTACATAATAATAATAATATAGTTTACTAATAAATTTTTGTAATCTATGTATTATTTTTACATTAGTTTATAAGATGTAACTACAAATCTTAAGTTTCAATGCTGTCTGCATTCCTAAAAAAAAACACTATTTAATATATATTTAATAATTATTAGCATAATTATGGTATATGTACTCTAGTTTATAATGACCGTAAGCGTAGGTAGTAATACGGTCTTCTGATATAACCCGCTTATCATCTAAACGGTTTAATGTCATTTTCATAGTCTTAATGGTGTATATTTGGTGTTGAAATGATCTGATTGACACATTTTCTCTGTATGGTGTATAAGTCGGGTACTTTACAACGGGGCAATAAGGGTCCACGGCTCTCTCATGAATGTTGTTTACAACCATCATGCCATATATAGCCGCTGTTGCATGAGCCTCGCTTACTGCAGGCTCCTCTTCAGCATACAAACACCGTTTCAGGTCCTCGACTGTAAGATGATTTTTCACAACGTGACCACGTATCCTTTTCGCCTTAATTTTTTCTTTACCCTCCAAGTCAAAACCATAACATTTTGGTCTTAAACTAATAAACTCCAATATAGATTTCTCAGGCGCTTCGTCACTCCACAAACCAGGCACCTTTTTGTTAGCGTTTGAATAACACGGGTGACTGCTCGGCAAACCTGAAGTGTCAAGTCTAGCCAATAGATAAGGATTTTTCTTTGCCACCGCGTAAAAATCATCACCCACGATAAAGTACACTAATTAATCTAAACAATAAAATCATTAAATTTTTTCAATAAAAAATATTAATTAATCTACCTGTGTCACCGTATAACAGTCGAGCACGGTCTTTGAAATATTTCTTCATTACGTTATAATGGAAATCGTATACGAGAGTTTTACTAATTTCTAAAATTGCGAAACCTACATATACTGGTTTACAAAAATCGATAATTTTCTTTTCCAATACAAACGCTGATAAATTTTCACTGTACGTTGTACAATGTTTGAAATTATGCTTTCTAATTAATTTAGCCGCTCGTTTAGGATTATTGACCAATTCCATTTGCGTTCTAAATTGTACACGTTCCATCATTTTACCTGTTAACAAACGAAATCGCATTAAAATTATGTTTATATATATTTTTATTTAATTTTAAAACTTACCAAAAACAGCGTTGTTCATTAATTTAAAAAAGTCTTTTTCAAAATCATTTTTGGCTTTCTGTCTCATCTCCGTGTTGAGTTGTATATATTTTGATAGCCAGGCCGACTGCTTAAATTGTAACACCTTATGCACCTGTAATTTAATGACATGTTATTATTATATTTTTAAAATATAATTTTATGAATTACCTTTTCTACTTTTAATCCGTTTGCCATAGCCTGTTTTAAATTTAAATAGTGTATAACGTAGTTTTCTTTCCGATCGAAAGTAGACAACAGTTTTTTGACCCGTGAATTAGGCGGACATTTTCGTTCAGGTAGAAACGGCATTTCGTTGTGGGCATCATGTAACTCTTTCGGGTACGACACCGTCACTTCAAGGGCCATTCCTATAGGAGAATCCGCAGGTAACTCTTCCACAGTCTTTAAAATTTTCGTTTCGTCGTCCACGTCTAACCACTTAAAGTCACCACATGGCATATGTTGAGACATACTCCAACCATACAAATTATTGACATCCAAATATATAATTTCAGATTTTTGTTGTTTGATATCATAATGAGGCGTCTTTTCATTGTTGGCTGTGGCATGTTTCAACACCGAAGTTGTCATTCCTCCCCGTATTCCTCTCTCAATAAAAAGTTGCTGTTCATAATCACTCATGAGATCTAGTGAAACGCCCGTATGCAGCAGCATAGCGTCAAAAGACAGACCGGGACTCGTAAAATAATATGCCGGTTCCAATTTATATTTTAGTAGACATAACTTGCGAAAATTCGTAAAAACGTCCGCAAGTATTGTTACGTCAGTTTTCAGGTACAGATCAGAGTACTCACCGAGCGTTTTACAATTGAAATGTTGCCAGACGTTTTGTGCGTGTTTGTATTCGGCATCATCAATATGCGTTTCTGACAGATCGTTATAAAAATCGGCTTTTGACGGCAATTGTTTTTCTTCGAGTACATCCCAGCTTGAGGTGTATGAATACGGGTACACGCCTTTACGGGTCACCAAATCAATGTCACCGTCCGATGAAAACGCTTTTGCGGTTTCTTGGAATAATTTTATGTCGGCGGCGCGCAAATTTTCAGCGAGAGCCGCTAAACTAGTACCCATAAAACGAAATGTATCGACGAACCTTAGCGAAAATTTGTTTGAAACAAATTTTGAAAAAGAAATATATTTTTCTTCTGTAGCGGGTATTACACTTATTCTACTAGTATCTCTTCCAAGGGCTTTAACTAAAAAGTGTCCGTCGTACGAGCTAAGATTATGGAAATATACGTTAACAAACTTGGGCGTTGTTAATTTTAAATTGCAACTGTTACAAAGCGTTTTTCTAAAACTACCTGAAACGAATATAAATATATACATAAATTTTCTTTTTATATTAATTATTATACATTTAACACAGTTATGTGTATGATTTACCTGTCAAATGATCATGGTCTGCTACTTTATGATTTTTCTCTGTAAAACCACCCTTACACAAGTCACAGCAGGTTTTCTTTATATGTTCTTCAGTTTCTTCATGTGTCATACAAATATCAACGTTCGTCTTGAGCAACTCTTCAATTTTCAACGCCACTTCAGTTACGTCATCCATGAAACGATTGGCTACTTCCCCAGGTCCACTGCTTTTATTTCCTCTGTATATTTTAGGCGTCGTTTGAATATTATACTGTTGCAATAATTCTATGGGTACACTGTCGGCTGCTTTTACTATGTATCCATAGCTCATTGCAACATGATCATGTATATAACTTGTATTGCCTTTCGTATCTTTGTTGGACTTGACCAGCAGGCTTTCAAAATCAGCATAAATTGCAAATGGATGTTCCTGTGTTTTGCCCCATGACTCGAACTTTAATTTAGTGCCCTCTTCAGGCATTATAGGTAAAAACGGTTTGTTTTCGCCACAAATTTTTTTATGTTCTTCTAACGCCTCAACTCCACGTAGTTTATACTTTTTAGGTACATTATTAAAGCCCGTGTAACACCGTTTACAAAATATCCTTTTTGCCGTATTCTTTGTTATTTGTGACTGTACCAATTGACCAAAATCGGTAATATAAGTGTAATGGCTGTCACCCGCGGCATTTGACACAATTAACAAATCAATATGGTCTTTACGTTCTTCAGCGCATAAACTAAATATTCGGGTTTATTATGTAAATCTTTCAATTTTAGTCCGTAAACATTGACTGAAGTATGGGGATTATTTTTTTCGAAAATTTTTATGTCTGAAATCGGTGTTGGGAATGATAAACCGGAGAAATTATAAGAGTTTTCTATAGACTTATAGTTGTAACCTACTATATATTTGTTATTACCAGTCATTTTTTTCGCCAATATAGCCCATTTGAAACATTGTTGATCTATATTTTACGGGTTTATTACAGCATTTCTGTTTTTAATATCATACGGTAAATCAATGTAAGAACTCCCGCCTAAAGGCTGATATTTGTATACACCCAGTAAAATACCGTCTATATTAGAAAACGAAAAATTACTACCTTTACCAGCATAATTTTCCTGTTCTTCTAATAATTTTGTGTATGAAATATCCACAGCATGATCAATATCGTCCTCGTTCATTATCTCGGCTGCCGACGTTTTAAATGACCGATTTTTATATTTGTTTTCATTATTCGGTACAGTATAAGTCGCCTCCAGTTTTAAGTTGAATTTTATCGGCCCCATTTCTTTAAGACAGTCGCGTAATTTTTCAACTAAATCGCCTCNAACAGTCGCGTCATTTTTCAACTAAATCGTCTCTTGTTGCCGACAAAAACGATTGATACCCGACTACATTTTCAATATTTTTTTTATATAACCATAAAATTTGACTATTTAATGATTCACCCGTTTTATGAAAACCGCTCGTCGTAATGTCCTGTAATCGTTTAGCCTTTACCCGTTTACATTTAATCGTATTGTCGGTGTTACATTGTTTGCGACGTTTAGGACTAATTGCACTGGGACCTGCCTGCATTCTCTCCGCAACATTTAAATTTTCTAAAAACAAATAATCATATATTTATTTTAGCATATAAATTTCTAATAATATATATTTTCTTTACTTACCACTTGTTGACATAGCCCTCGAATCAGCATGATTTCCTATAGAAATATTATAGTCCACACCATACTTTACGGGGTCTAAAATAATACACTTATATTAACACTCTACTAATATATTTTCTCTTTTCATATTACTATTTTACTGAATAATAATTGTAATATTTACGGTGTATCTTTTGAACATGGCGTACAAGTCCACATTTGTCCGAAAAACTAAATGGGCATAAATAACACTTAAATCGTATACCGTCATGTATTTTCCTATGTCTCATCAAACAGTTTTTGGCGACATACACTTTTTCACACTTGTCACAAGAAAACATTTTTAAGGCGTTTAACTGACACAACACTATTAATTTTGCTCGAGTAATAATCCTTCTTTTATGCGGAAAAAACACGTATTTTCATAGGAGGGTCAACAAATCATAGGTCACATATCCCCGTAAACTAACCCATTCCTTCACCACTTAAGTAATTTCACTTTAATATCATAATAATTAATTTTAAACTCTCGATTTCTAAATATTTGTATACAAATATATGTAATAGATTATGTGTATACATGTTTTATACAATAACGATTACACATTAACAAAAAATTTTTTTTTAAATCAGACCATTTCCCTTAATTCAGAAGATCACGTTGTTATATCCAATAATCATGTGTTATCATGGTAGTATTCTACCGTCCATGATTGTCCATTTTTTTTATAATTATACTAATAATTTATTGTAAGATTGTCACACGTAATACCTAAATAAACCATCGTATTACGTTAATATATGTAGAAGATTGAATTATATCATTGCTTCAATTACTTCAAAACAAAACAATACTGGAGTACTATACAAAAAAAAAAACAGTATTTGTTACGAATTTTCAAGATATTCCTATATTTTTTGAACCAACACTCAATTTTTCACTTTGTATTTTTTCAAAATTCACAAAATGTATATTTTTGAAATCCTTATATAGTTTTCTATTTGTTGGTTAAAATTTTATAATTATAAGTTAAACCAAAAAAAAGTTATACTTTAAAGTATAGTTTTTAAACATTTGTTATCAGGATATTACAGTGTTAAGATAAATAATTATTAAAAATTTTTTTCTAAAGTGTTAATTTTGTTAAACACCTCATAGTATGAGGTGTTTCAATTCATAAAATGGCTAAATTCAACTAATGTAGAATAGAAATACTCGATAATTATCATCAGCTATTGGGACGAAATGCTCCAATTAACAAGTTTAGAATTTTTATTGCGTAGCTCAGAAAAATTCTTATATTATACCTTGTTTTTTTTGTACTAAAATGTATAATTTTTTCAAAATGTAATTATTTAAATTATTTTTTAAATTGTTTAATTATTTTATATTAAGAATAATTCATTAAAATTATTTCAGTTTTCAATAATGTGTCAATTTTTTTTAATAAGCAATTTAGAAATACAAAAACTATTAATTACTTGTTTTTATTAATACTTTTCATATTAGATTAATGTGTAAAATTATTTTAATGTAATTTATTGTTATAATTAAAAAAAATAAATAAATAAATAGTTTTCAGTTAATAAAGCCAATACGGTTTTGACTACATGAAAAACATCAAATGTTGTTTCATATTTAGTATAACACATAAACAACACAATAAATCTAGTCAGATTATACTAAAAATATCATAAATGTATTACTCTATGATTGCAAAACGACTTCACATTTTATTCAATTTATGAGATATGCATAAAATATACAAAAGATATTTTATAATGAGCTTAATAGCTCTAAAAATTATTAAATCAACAATTGGGAGACGTTTAAATCTTCATAAAAATGAAGTATTATTATTATTATTATTATTAAAATTTAACTATTAATTAAAAAGAAAGTTATTTTTGCAAATAAAGGAGATCATCGTTTATTAAATAGATAAAAAATAAAATTTTAAAGCATTTAAAAAAGAAAAAACGAGCAATATTGTTTTTATCGCCAACATCATAGGTACAACTAAATGCTAGGGGTGCTGAAATTATAAAATGCTCTTAAGACCACACTCGCGAGTAAATTTCCTTAAATAATTACTTATTTAAATAATAACTTACCTAAATTTTTATAGTTAACCAATAAAAAATAAAGTTTTTTTTATAAATAAGCCATAATACAATCATTTCATTAATATTTCATGTCATTTATCGGTTCATCTTATTATCATATTTTTATTATCAAAACAACCCCAAAGATGTTTTAAATTATTTAAAATTTTTCTTTTTATCATTAAACAATCATTGTATAAAAAAAAATTGTTTATTTTAGTATCATATTATTTTATTGTTAATTATTTAAAAAATTGTTTATTTTAAAAAAAATCGTCCATAAAATGAAAACAAATTATTTTCTCATAATTATATTGAATTAGGACTGGAATGCTGCAGCCCCCCAGCAACACTTGCTAGTTGCGCCCATATCCAACATTATCAGTCGAAAAAGAGAGCAAGCCTTTCCTGAATTATACTGGCTGTAGTTGGACTTTGGGTGATTATACAATATCTGAACGCGTAATTTTTTAATTGGTCTACCGAGTATATATATAAAAAAAAAAAAATTAATTTACAAAATTTGTAAATATTTATTATATAAATAGAGAAAAATTGACTACATGACTGTGTAAGGTACATTTCTGGATAAATGTTTGGTTTATTTTTTTTTTTTTTAGTAATTGAACTAATTATTTTATACATAGAAATTTTATTTACCAATAACGATAAAAAAAAACTATCCCTTTTCCTTTTTATTAAATTATCCCTTCCAATTCTCTCCAAACTTGAATAAGACTTAGAATTTCAAATACTTTGTGTCCATTATTATTTTTTTTTAGCTATTACAATTAAAAATGCTATTTTTATTTATTCAAACTCAAATTAAATTCTAACGCTGTAGAACAACAATATTATATCGTTCTTGCAAAGAATCTATATTGAAATTTAAAAAACACTTGTATTCATTTAAACTATTTTCGAGTTTTTTTCATAGTTTAGTTAATATGCTTAAAAATATTTTCATAAAAACTTCATGAAACTATACTATATTTTTAAAATTTATGGTAAACGAAAAAAAATGTGTTTCCCTTTTCATTTTTAGTCAAATATCCTATTTAGTTCTACCCAATTTTGAACAAGACTTTAAATTTTTAATTTATTTTATTCATTTGTATATTTTATAAACCCAAGAAAATCATCATCTTGCCCCAATCGTTAACTTGTCGTACTCACCCTTATTTTATAAATAAATTATTAGGATAAGTGAATCGATTATTTATGAAAAATTATAAATTATAATTTTTTGGAAAATTACATTTTTTAATAAATATGTTCTGTGAATATATACGAATAGTTTACTTTCGAAAAGAATCAACTGCGTATGATAGATATTTTACTATCGCTATTTCAAACATTTTGTTTTTTAATAAATAGTGCTAAGTAGTTCAAAAATAAATAAAACATTTGCCGATAGAAGGTTTTTATGATAACAGCTGTTATATTTTTTGTAATAATTAAAGAAAAATTAATTTTCAATAACAATTTAAAAACGAACCTTTTAATGTGTAGTTTTATAGTCGATTTGACTGCAATGCTGATAAAAAAGATTTTTGTCATTGTTATTGTTTGTTAGTGTAAATGGCTTTTGTAAAGAATACTTTCAAGTTTGGAAAAGATAATTCTTTTATATTATTACCTTCAGTAAAAGCATGAATAAAATATGTGTCCAATGCAGAAAGAAAAAGTTTAGATAAACAAAAATCATTAAATAGTCAAAAAAAATTATTGATTTATATGATGTGTATTTATTATACTTCAATAAAACTGTTAGCATTCTCCTTATAGTATTAAGTATTTATAAAAGTATGTTAGTTATATTAACATAATATTAATTTAGATATTTTAAATTTTTATTAATATTACTAGAATAAGTTCTACTTTCTATACGCATTTTAACACAAAACTAGCATACGGTAGCCATTTTCTCCATGAAGACAAAATAAAATGCGAACATTTTTTCTTCCATAATAAAGTATATTACATTAGCTTTAATTTATGATATATATTAAAGTGTCAGTATTTTCGGAACACTATCAAAAGTTAAGTTAAAAAAATTAATTTTTTGTGAAAAAGTTTTCATTTTGAATCCCTTCTGTTGGTAAGTAAAGGAACAAATTAATAAAAAATATACACAAAATGAGAGGTAATTATCTCACATGTCTATATAAAAAAAAATTATATATATTTGGTCATTTTTAAAAAGTTATGGCAATTTTAAGTAAAAAAAAGTTGAAAAAATGTCAAAAATTAGCGATTTTTTAATTTGTAATATTATTTGATATTTATTTAGGCGTTGCTTAAAAATTTCTATAATAAGTAGATTTTATCGCATAATTAGCTGGTTATTTTATATTTAAATAAGGGAACCCTGTTTTGGCGACCTTGTATATTCAAAATATGTAAATACATGTACAAATGATAACATCATATTATTTGTTAATATTATAAGTAGTAATATAATATTACACAGAGATGAGAATGTAATACTATACAGAATACAGTGTAGTATTCATTTATTTTGAATATGATTTTTAAATATTCACTTGTTTGTAATTAGTTAAGTAGGGCATTAGTATTTAAATATGATCAATCTGAATTATCAGAGTCCCTCGGCAATGAGCCAAAGGAAATTATATTCGAAAAGTTATGGATTATATTTTTCTGTATTTTAGAAAAATGTGCATTATTAAATGTTTTGTAATAACTATTTCTGTCATTAATTAACTTAACCTTGTGCGTGTGGTACATTCAGTCGTGACATGAAACTCAAAAATATTTCACAAATAAATACATTTTTAATTTCGAATTGGGATTAGTAGTTAAAAAAAAATTCGATTTATATAATTTTATTTTTATGTTATGTAACGTCAAATAAACTTCTTTCAACACAAACATATTTTCATGGCCTAAACAAATACTAATAAATTATAATGTAAAAATATACATCAATAATAATACTCATAAATGTAGACTATATAAATTCAATGAAATAATGGTATAAAATATATACAAGTAATTTTTTTTGTTTAGTAACAATTATTTATTATGTTACCTACNCATATACAAGTAATTTTTTTTGTTTAGTAACAATTATTTATTATGTTACCTACACGATTAATACATTTTTTTGTACTAATATGTCTTACTAACAGTTCTAATAATTTTAAAACAAGATTTTTGAAAACAAGCATTGAAGATGCTGAATTTAATAGAATTATTACATCTGATGGATGGA